GCTGGGCAACACGGACTTTCAACTCCCTCCAAAGATTTTCTATGGGGTTGAGATCTGGAGACTGGCTAGGCCACTCCAGAAATGTTGAATATTTCTGAGCTTAAAGTTCAAAACAGTTCAGCATGGTTAGTTTTTAGCAGTAATTGTAAAACAGCAGCTCGGGTAGATCTGCTGCACGTTTTCCTCTGAAGCATTTAAATCCATGTTTTGCATGAAGCAGACAGAAAGATGGTTGATCTACTGCCAGAATCTCTGAAAGAATGGTCAATGTTTCTGCTTAAGTTCTGCAACGAAGGCGGGGGCAGAAAACTGGATCTGAATGTTTCTTGGCGACTGACCTGAACACCTTGTTGACGAGTTTTGTTCTTCGTTGCTCAGGATGCAGAGGGGCTTCCTGTGGAGGTGAAGGTGAAGAGTAAAGGAGAAGGATTGTACCAGTGCTCCTACACGCCCAGCTCGTCTCTGAAGCACACAGTGTCCATCACCTGGGGAGGAGTCAGCATCCCCAACAGCCCCTTCAGGGTAAGCAGCCAATCACAGCTCCCAATTACGACAGGAAGCGGCATAACTCTGCTCAGGCGTAAGGAACGGGTCGAGGCTGTGAAACCTGTAGAGGCGGCACCGCGTCTGAGCGAAGGGTCAACGGGGGGCAGAAAAGCTAAGAAACCTCTGGTCATCATCACCACCTACACAGAGCAGAGGTTCCACTATTAGCGCACAGTTGGGTCTGTCCTGGAATTTTCTGGAATCATCCGAGTTCATCCTGGTGGTTCTGCAGAACCTTGAATGAATGCGGATGAATCGACCTGTGATGATTTACGGCTAAACGGAGCAGCTTCTGTCCAGACTTACTCTTCAGCTGAGGTTGAATATCTTCACGTTTCATCCTGATCACCGTATAACTGTGTCTGACTGCTGGTTAACAGGCTTCATCATTTCAATGTTTTATTCACCCTAATGAAATCAGCTCTTCCTCTGAAAGCTTCCAGTGTGTTTTATTTTTTCTTTTCTGTCTCTGATCACAAACACATCGACACTGTGATCCCGAGCTTCACTCATCTCAACCTTTTCTGACCAACGCCACAAACCGGATTGATCCAGTTATCTGATTCTAGCTCACATGTCATCAAACATGACTAAAAGGAACTAGAAGTTAGTCATTTATTGAAATGTGATGGACACTTCTCATTTAACACAACGTCAGTTTCAGAATGAAAGATCTTAATTTAAAGCAGATCTTTGCTCTTTTTGACGATGACGGATGATCGTCCCCACGCGATCCCACTGAGGACGCCTGATAAACACACTCATTAATGATTAAAGGCTGGTCCACCTGTTCAAAGAAAAAAGATTTGCCCCATAAAACCCAAACCATTGTTCTACAGCCAGATAAATGGGGTTAACTCCTCCCACCAGGGAGGGGGCTGCCTTTCCTCATTAAGTTTACAAGCATCTGTGTAAGAACTGGCATCACTTTTCTGTTATTTGCATTTTCTGATTAATCAATCAGACAAAATGGACAAAGTTTTCCCCTAAGGATTAAAATGTGGTGTAATTGGGAGCGAATTTGACCAATTGATCTAAATTTATTAGAGGTTATGAGTATAATGCTGGTTTTCTTTTCATGCTGATCCAGAAAACTGATGCGCTGTGATCAGAAGCCCTGGAGCAAATATGCAGAGATGGCAAAAGTACTCGCTTTCCGTACTTGAGTAAAAGTACAGATAC